GAGTAGCTGGGACTACAGGCGCCTGCCACAACGCCTGGCTATTTTTTTGATGCAATTTGGCTGGGGCCAGGTTTGAATCCACCACCCTTGGTATATGGGGCCGGTACCCTACTCACTGAGCCACAGGCATTGCCCCAAAAATGCATTTAATATGCCTTACTCACCAAACATCATAGCTTAGCCTACCTTAAATATGCTTGGAACACTTACATTAACCTATAGTTGGGCAAAATCATCTAACACAAAGCCTATTTTATAATAAAGTATTGAATATCTCATATAATTTATTGAATACAGTACACTATAGAGTACAGTATTGGTTGGTTGTGTGATTGCCTGACTAACTGGGAACTATGGTTTGCTTCCACTTCCCAGCATCACAAGACAGTTTTATACCACATATTACTCACTGGGGAAAAGATCAAAATTCAAAATTAGAAGTACAGTTTCTACTGAATGGGTATCACTTTTATACCATCATAAAGTCAAAAATTCCAAATTGAACCATTATAAGTTGGAGACCTTTGTACTGGCAATTGTATCTACTTTGAACAAGGAAGACAATAGACATGGTGGTTCCAAATCCTAGGAGAGAGGTACTATTTCAAATAGACATTAAGTTTAAAAGAGCTTCATGGCATTATTTACAAATTTTTGTCTATAGATTTCATAAAATAATAGTTACAATATGGTGGCACCTGTGGCTCAAAGGATTAGGGCGCTGGCCCCATATACTGGAGGTGGTGGGTTCAAACCTGGCCTGGGCCAAAAACTGCAAAAAAAAATTACAATAACTAATATATAGTGAATATTTACCATGTGCTAGGGACAACTTTAAGCACTTTATAGGAATTAACTCATATTAAACAGATCACTTATTCAATCTACTGACAAATTTTTAGCCAATTGTGGTAGCTCATGCCTGTGATCCCAGCAACCTGGGAGGCTGAGGCAGAAATATCACTTGAGCTCAGAAGTTCAAGGAGTTCAAGGCTGCAGTGAGCTGTGATCAAGCCACTGCTCTCCAGCTGGGGTGACAGAGTCAGACCTTGACTCTTAAAGAAAGCACAACAACAAAACTTTAAAAAGTGCACTTGTATTTTATTAATTACAAGAGCATCTGTTTAGTTCCTAACATGCAATAAACAGAGGAATATCTGTTCAATGAATGAATGGTTGTGTTTTGCCTTGGAATATACATTCTTTTTTAATATAGGATTTTGGTTTTCTTTCCATTTTTCCTATACTGGTTTTCGTTACATGTCCTAACAGATTGTGGTGGTCTTCATTAGAACTGTCCTAAAGGCTGCTTTAGATGTGTGGCAATAGGAACTGACAGTAAATAAGGTCAAATGTAGTGTTTGCAGATAAAGAGATTTTGATGATAATGGCTATACTTGCTTATGATTCACTTCTCTGATTTGCTTTTTTATAGATTTTCTGTACTGAAATCACAAAGAAATCCAAGATACCATATCTCAGTAAGTATAGTTGTAAGTAAGAAATTCACAGGCCTGCAGGTGGTATCTCTACCATACATGATCATGACTCTGTTCTTGCTCAGTCTGGTTTCATGATAGGTCCAGAGGGAGGCTGCGTCACAATAGATAATCCACAGCATAGGTAGTTTATTCATAAATTGATGTCTACAGTTTTTCGTAAGAAAAAATTCTATCCTCCATAAACTGGCTAAGCTAGCTACTCTTTCTGCTCTTAACATTCAAATGGAGTTATTTACCACTAATTACAGAGAACATGTTTCAGTAATACCAGATAAATGGGTTAATCCTGTGCTACTGAAACCTGAGTAATAACTGAGATCATGATGGAAACTTGAAAAACCAACCAACCAGACAAATGTATAGGTGCAGCTCTACCAATTCTGATTCTGGAACTCTGGATCTGAGCCAAGCAGACGCATTTTGAATGCTCCTGGTCAATTTTGCTGAGCCAGGTTTGGGATTAGTGGACTAAACCAGTCCTGGTTGTTGGGGACTGAAGAAGGATTAGCTTTGTCTCATAACTCCATTCTATTCAGTGGCATTTGGGTGGACTCAGATGGAATGTTCAGTGGGGCTGGCAGTGCTGGAAGTAAAGAAGGGGAACTTTAACTGTTCTCCTCTAGGACTATGCCTTTTACGAGCCTGTTTATTTATCTGTACAGTGATGATAACGGCAGATTGGTATAATGATAATTTGAGATTATGTAAAAATGTCTACAAATTACAAAACACTAAATAAATGCCAGAGGATAAGTAATGCATGAGAAAATGGATAAACTCCTCAGGTGGCCCAGAGGAGGGAGTGATTTCCTTCTGACTGGAAGGTATCAAGAATGACTTCATTGATGAGATGGTTCTAAGCTGGGTTTTGAAGATGGCAAGATTTTCAGTGTCCACAGATGGTGGGGTGGGCCATCCATGGTAGAGAAAATCAATAGGAGAAAATAAATCCAGTGCAAATTTGGGAAACTGCAAGGAACCCAGGGCAACTAGATAAGAGGAGGAGTTTTAAATGAGGATAACATAGAAAAGAAACACACAAAGGTCTATATGTCATTAATATGAATAATAGGGGCAAATGTTACCATTTAATTCAGTAATTCTTGAAGACATCTATAAAGGAATTATATAGCATAAGACAATAATTGACATTAATAATGGTTAATGATGATGATTGCAGATTATCAAAGAAAGGTTAAACTAGGAAGGCAGAAAGGTGTTTCCATTAGAAATACTTAATTCATAAATAGTTAAAACTGAATGTGTTTCAGTGCTAGAACAATTATTCTTTAGTGATCTGAACAATTTAGTTATCTAGAAGAATAGCGCTTGCAGGCTCGGCGCCTGTGGTTTAAGTGGCTAAGGAGCCAGCCACATACACCTAAGGTGGCGGGTTTGAATCCAGTCCGGACCCGCCAAACAACAATGATGGCTGCAACCAAAA